CCTCGTTTTGATATTAAAAAGATTAGATAAATATTTTGATAAAAAGTCATTTACACTAGCTTATATGAACAATGTCATGTATCACATCCCATGGCTCATAAACTCTAACACTCATTACAGATCAATGAAGATCCGGGATAGAATAGGTCTTCAGCAACCCATGCTTGCTTTAAAAGGCGACTATGCTTGTCGTAAGAGGCGACAATCGGGTGGTCAGGCTCGCTGACTTGGTTGATGCATGTCATCGATCCCAATTGCGTGGATCGATGCTCACGGTGTCAATCACTGGATTGTCCGGTTCAGACTCATTTATTTACAGACCGCCGTCATATAACTGGAATATCGCTGAGTGCGGCGTTAAACAACAAACAAACAGACATATTTATTACAATTGCTGTGACAGATCTTTTGAAATGGATGATGTAATTTGTGAACACAAGTTAATAAAGCTTGAAATAAATAATGGAGAAATCATCAGAATCTGTTGATCCCAGAAAAAGAATCAATGAGACCCGTGGCGAGTTGTTTATTCTTCGGGAAGTAACAGATTCGAATGATTTCACCAACATTAAACATTTAATGGTTGATCTATTCTATCTCTGTAATCATGCACAATAACCTGCAGTTACGTCAGTTTTATTTGTCAAAAAACGCATTCAAAATAGCCAGTGCATTCCTGGCCCAGAATCAACTGCAACAACAGCATTGTCACCAAAATGGTTTAAATGCAAACAAACCGCGCCACAATGTGCTCTGAACAGCCGTATCAGTTTTGTCTTGGCAGCATATCAACAAATACGTTAGTGGACTGAAAGTGCACGTGATCAAATAAAAACACACATAAACTCACATAAATTGCCAGAATGCTTAAAGAAGGTGTTTGTGTGCGCATGTGTGTGTGTGTGTGTGTGTGTGTGTGTGTGTGTGTGTGTGTGTGTGTGTGTGTGTGTGTGTGTCCCACCATGCCTCCTTGCTCTACGTTCCGCGAAAGGTAGTTGAAGTACAATGGTAAAGATACCCTAGTATATTAGTGTCCCTATGAATAGATGTCTACCATACGTGAAGCGACCACACGTATAGTTAACATACAAGTCTGAGGATGTTGACATTATCACAGCATAAACATGCTGACAATACGATACTGCCATCTAGTAGATGACCTCTCAACAAACCCGACACCCTCTTCACACCCACCACACTCACGCGTTCAAGCGTGAAGACATCCACGAACGCACGGACGCACACGCAAATGTATACATACCAAGAATCATGCACGTATGCACGCCGACATTCACAGCCCACCTGTGTAGGGTTCCACTTATCTCTGATGTAGCGGGTGTTTGTTTGTTTGTTTGTTGTTTAACTCCGCACTCAGCAATATTCCAACTATGTGACGGCGGTCTGTAAATAATAGGGTCTGGACCAGACAATCCAGTGATTGACATCATGAGCATCGATCCACGCAATTGGGATCGATAACATGCATCAACCAAGTCGGTAAACCTGACCACCCGATCCCGTTAGTCGCCTCTAACGACAAGCACAGTCGCCTTCCACCGCAAGCATGGGTTGCTGAAGACCTATTCTAACCCAGATCTTCACGGGTCTGATGTAGCGACAAGAGCGGGCGTTACAAATACGGTGGTCAGATATGTACCTTGTCTGGTCCACACACTTGGCAGCACAACTGTGACCTACCACGTCTCTGTAAGTCGGGTAATTCCTGTCTGACACATAGGGCACGAGCAGGATGAGGATGAGCGTGAAGCGGAAGATGAATGACACCACGAGGTTCTTATGGATGGAGATACGGCTGCACTGTAGCGACCTGAAACACATAAACAGTAAGATGAGGAGTCAAGTTGGTGCAGACGGTTGAAACAGTATTTCCATAATGTCACGACAGCTTAGTGTAAGGAGGGCTATGATGAACCAGTCTTCCTGTAAAAGCAGCGTGCTGCGAGTGTGTGAGTATGGTTTTACGCCGCTTTTAGCAGTATTCCAGCAATAATACGGCGGGGGACACCAGAAATTGGCTTCACACATTGTACCCGTGTCGGGAATAGAACCCGGGTCTTCGGCGTGACGAGCGAACGCTTTAACCACAAGGCTACCCGACCGCCCCCAGCGTGATTCGAAAGGCAGAGTTGCGAACCTTAGTCGTGCCAGGATCTGATGAGAGTTCAATTCTCACAAGATGTTAAAAATGGTACTTGTTGTTACCCTGGCGCTCGGCATTAGGGGGCTAAAACAAGGACCGGTCGACTCGGAGTCAGTATACTGTGTCTGAGTGGGGTATTCATGTTAAACTGTGGCATGGTATCTCAGTGGGCCAGCACTATAAATCGGCATCTGTCCGGACTAGTACTAACAGCCACACACACGCACACGTGCATGCACGTCGCTATATAGTGCAATAATCTTGGACGCGACGTAAAAACCCATTCCACTTCACCTCTGTCAAATCAAGGACCACAATAGTAGAGAATCTAACATTCGACCAACGACAATAGTACTCCGACAGGGAAGGGAGGCTACATAGTCTGTTTATTCTATTGATGACGAGCGCCATGGAGAACCATTATTTGACCTCTTTCGGCATGACGCTGTCAGGGGATCGAACCACCGACCTCATATCCGATAGAATCACAACCACAGAGGCTGTAACACTACAATGAGTTAGTTAGTGAGTATGGTTTTATGCCGCTTTTAGTAATATTCCAGCAATATCACGGCGGGGGACACCAGAAATTGGCTTCACACATTGTACCCATGTCGGGAATCGAACCCTGGTCTTCGGCGTGACGAGCGAAGGCTTTAACCACTAGGCTACCCGACCGCCCCCCACACTACAGTGAACAGTAACGTCAAAACCAACTTTGTGATGGAAGTGGAAATAGAAAATACTTTGAAGATGATATGCTCTTAGAACGCGAAATATTTAAGGGTTCATGACAGACATAACAAGACACCCATATGTATTACGGACGGCAGATATTAAACCCCCCCCCACCCCCCCCCCCCACCCATCCCCCACCCATCCAAACCCCCCCCCCCCCCCCCCCCCCCCCATCACTTTCCGCATCCTCCCACCCTAGTCCCGCACCATGACCGTGGAATATATTTGTTTTATGAAAAAAGTTTATCTAGAAACGCATACAAAAGCAAGTCTAGCCAGCTCAAGCTAAATCAGCATAAGGATTTTTTAATTTTTAGAGTCAAGAAGGATATTGTGTAATATAAGATTTTCAGAGGTTAGTCTACCTCCCATCCCTCCTTCCTATATATACTATATGTACATATACTTTAATCTTGAATTCCGTTTGGTAGTTACATTCAGTTGATGTAAGTTATTATGATGCGCACGGCTGTATCAGTTCGTACTTTGTAAAGCCTCTCTATATTTGAGCCTCAGTCAACTCATTAGCAATTCGAAAGGCGACTGCTTACGGGATCGGGGTCAGGCTCGCTGACTTGGTTGATGCATGTCATTGATCCCAATTGCGTGGATCGATGCTCATGATGACAATCACTGGATTGTCTGGTCCAGACTCGATTATTTACAGACCGCCGTCTTATAGTTGGAATATTGCTGAGTGCGGTGTTAAACAACACACAAACAAACAATCATTAGCAATTTAGTACTTAGTCGTATACAGTAAAGTACGGTTATAACGAACTCAAATGGACTACTAATTTTAGTTCGTTATAACCGTAGTTCGTTATAAGCATATATACAGTATAACAACAGCAAATAGTCAGGACCCAAAAGTAAGTTCGTTATATCCGTCAGTTCGTTATAAGCGTGTTCGTTATAACCGTAGTTTACTGTAATAACCATAGGGTGGGTCATCTCGGCTGGAGTTCTGATAAAAGGCATTGAGTACACTAACAAGCAGGAACTCGTACAAGAGTTACTGTATCAGGTACTTCTAATGCTTCCGGACAAGGGCGTGTGTGATATAGAATTACCCGTGTCTTGAAATGTATACGGCAACTTAACAGACAAGGAAGGTCAGATCGGATTCGAAACTGCGATCTTATTCGTTATTACTCTCATTAATTACCAAACGGATACATTCAACATGGTCGTTGGACAGAAAAGTAGTCTTCATTACACAAGGCCGTTTCTGTTACTCTGTGTTTTTTATAATTCTATAATGAAATCGTGCACGTTTGGGACATAAAATGATACAACACAAGTTATGATATATAAAATTGACACGAAGGCAAGTTTCCTTCGCAAATGGTTTGAGCAGTTTCTGAGAGAGTAATTTTGGTGACAGTTTCATGAGTCAGCAAATCAGACTCTTCAATGCCCTGGTAATATTTACAGTCCAGAAATCAACCCAAACAGGAGCGACGAACACGGGAATAACTATAAAATTTATTTGATGACCCCAGGTGTTCGCGAAAAGGTTGGCATGTCCTTCTCATGAGTAGGATGTCGCGACCGGGTGTTAAATGTAACCATTAGTTTGTTTCCGTTTGAACAATGAACTTCAGTTTCTGTTTACTCATGGTGTATCTACGTGGCTCATAATCAAAGCATTTCCCACGAACAGCGGATCCTGACACAATGAAGTGACGCAACTCTGTACGGTAAGTCGTGACAACGTACGTACACCACTGTGCTACCATTGCTTCAAAGTTAGTTTCGAGTGACACGTAAAACAAATGTGTCGTCCAAAACAAGCAATGTCATGAGTTTTGCGAAACAAGCAATTTCAATAATTGATTTTCAAATATATTGCATCATATTATATTTAATGGATGGTTACCTGAAGTAGCAGAAGATGAAGAGGGTGATGATGAGGAAGGTGAGGGAGATGATACTGCCGGCGTAGTAGACATCAGTCAACACATTGGCTAGCTCCACCTGAAACATACATATCTACATCAGACCCTCATTGTGGCGTGTTAAGTATAAGGTCAACACCGTCTGAAACATATCTAACTGTTCTGGGCAACCATAAGACCATTTTTTATTTTTTCGTTTCACGGGCCCACCTGAAAAGCAGCTGGAAAGGAAATACTTGTATATATACTTGCCAGCCACACTCTGTAAATCACTTGCTTGATAACGGTGTTAGAACCTACACCGAAACGTCGCTCTTAATTGTAATAAAGAAGTTGCTCATCCATAAATTCGTATCCTTACTTAGTACTCCAACTTCTAAATGCCTATCAAAGAAGATAAACATATTTTTTTTTATTATGTCTCACGCTCGTAATATTGACCCCTTTATCATACTCTCGACGCCACCTGAAACATGCACATCTACACCAGGCAACCATCAGGTCGTTTTCAGTATACTCTCAACGCCACCTGAAACATGCACATCTACACCAGGCAACCATCAGGTCGTGTTCAGTATACCCTCAACGCCACCTAAAACATGCACATCTACACCAGGCAACCATCAGGTCGTGTTCAGTATACTCTCAACGCAACCTAAAACATGCACATCTACACCAGGCAACCATCAAGTCGTGTTCAGTATACCCTCAACGCCACCTTAAACATGCACATCTACACCAGGCAACCATCAGGTCGTGTTCAGTATACCCTCAACGCCACCTAAAACATGCACATCTACACCAGGCAACCATCAGGTCGTGTTCAGTATACCCTCAACGCCACCTAAAACATGCACATCTACACCAGGCAACCATCAGGTCGTGTTCAGTATACTCTCAACGCCACCTGAAACATGCACATCTACACCAGGCAACCATCAGGGCTTAGTTCAGTATACTCTCAACACCACCTGAAACATGCACATCTGCATCAGGCAACCATCAGGTCGGAGTCAGTATACAGCTTCCTACACACAAATTTTGACACGAAAATAACTGCCCTTGTCAGCAATGAATGCTGGGGGATTGTTAGTGTGATGTTACAGTCGATAAGTCGTCTCTCCGAGTTGCTTAACTTCGGACTAACGGTAGGTAGAATCTGTAGCGGCGGTAATTGCCTTGTATAACATATCTTATTTAGGTAAAGAAAACAGGTAACGAAGGGTTAATAATATGAGAGTTGTTGTTACCCTTCTACATTATTAAACTCCAAACGTTATGAAATATTTTCTGGGCCGCTTAAAAAAAGTAGTAACTGAATTACCAGCTACAATGATTCATTCATCCCATCCCCCCCCCCGTGATATTGCTGGAATGTTGCTGAAAGCGGCGAAAAACCAGACTCACTCACTCACTCACTCAACACTACCTGAAAAATTCATATCTACACTAGCCAACCATCGGAACCTGCTTAATCCAAACCCTTCGGATGAAGCCACAATCACAAGACACGATGTTTTATAAATATTAGACCGATTATGTGGTTGAGTGGGTAGAGCGTCTGCCCGGAGAGCGGAAGGTCAGGGGTTCGATCCCCGTACCCGTCATACCAAAAAGAGGTTAAACTTTGGTACTTGTTGTTTCCCTGCCTGGCTCTCGGTTTTAGGAGGATAAAACGAGGACTGGTCGGCTCGGAGTCGGTATTCTGTGTCTGAGTTGGGTATTCCTGTTAAACTGCGACATGGTATCTCAGTGGGCTAATACTAACAGCCACTAGTCCGGACAAGTACAAGCAGCTATTCACATATGTGAATGACACAGACACAGACAGTTTATTCAGTAATTTAGGCATCAAGGCCCATAGTAGCATGCAGATTGGATATTAACATTTGTCACGTGATGTACATGATTAGATTTTAAATCAAGAGGAAAAATGATGTCGCTATTGAAGCGCCATATTCTTGAACTCGACGTTAAACCCCATTTCACCTCACCCGCAAAGGACATATTGTCAGATACCGCGGATAACTCAATAATTACCTAAAAAACGCAAAATTATTTCTTTTACCAGTCACCTACATACTGCTCACTTTTGCGCCTAGTACAAGCAGCCACACACACACACACACACACACACACACACACACACACACACACACACACACACACACACACACACACACACCAAATCGTAATATGTCCGGGTTGACGAGGTTTTACTGTGTGCGGCCGATGATCGCTCCAGTGCTTAAGCACTATCGGATGACAGAATTAATAACTGAGAACCGACTGGCCTGATGTTAAATCAAGCATCAATCCTTTACCTCATCATTGGAAAACAGACGCCCGCAAACTCAAAATATACATGGTATCAACAACGTGGCTGTTTTTGATGCTGGGTCCTGGAATTCTGACAAATTTACCCCGTTATTTTCAGAACGAGGAGATGAGAAAGGTAATCACAGACTTGTAACCGCTTACAGGTGTTAAATGAAAGGAGAGCATCAGCTCCTATGATCTCTAACAGGGTGAACTGAAATGAGGTTTAACGCTACGTGCAAGACTATTGCGCTTATATAGCGACGTGCATGCACGTGTGTGTGTGGCTGCTTGTACTAGTCCGGACAGATGTCGATTTATAGTGCTAGCTTACTGAGATACCATGCCGCAGTTTAACATGAATACCCCACTCAGACACAGTATACTGACTCCGAGCCGACCAGTCCTCGTTTTAGCCCCTTAATGCCGAGTGCTAGACAGGGTAACAACAAGTACCATATTTTAACGTCTTTTGGTATGACGCGCCGGGGATCGAACCCCGGTCCTTCCGCTCTCGGGGCGGACGCTCTACCACGAGACCACGGAGGCGGTTCTTTTGGTATGCCGAGCGCTCAGACAGGGTAACAACAAGTTTCATCCTTTTTTACGGCTTTTGGCATGACGCGGCCGCGGATCGAACCACCGGCCTTTCGCTCTCCGGAAGACGCTCTGACCACGGTCTCTCTTGATTTCGAGTTTTTCAATTCATAGTACTACAGTAATTCCGGCCAGCACCTACCTGCACTCCATCATTACCGAAAGGTAAAAGGTCATCAGGCTTTCGTACATAGTCCCCACAGGCCGTATAGTTCGTCCAGCTTCCATTCTCCCACTTCCCATTGGCTGAACATTTGCGATGAGCGAGTAAAACTGAAAAAACAACCGAAGGACTGATTTCATACTTTTCAAACATTGGGCCCTTTCAGGTGTAAGAACACCCCCTACAACAACAACAACAACAACTTCTTTCTTCCTTCTTCTTCTTCTTCTTATTGTTGTTGTTATTTTTATTTATTCATTTTGATTAATATTTTTGTATATTATTAACAACAACAACAATAACGATAACAACGTTAAAAAAAATAATAATATAGTTGTTGTTAATAATATAAAAATATCAATAAAAATGAATAAATAAAAACAAAAACAACAACAACAACAACAACAACAACAACAATAATAATAATAAAAAGAAAGAAAGAAGAAGTCATTATTAAGTTCATGAGCTCGATGTCGGATAGAAGTATTAATTCCTTAAAAAAACGTATGTCTGTGTTTGTGTGTGTGTGTGAGTGACAGAGCGCAGATACCCTTCCTCCTAATCACCTGCTACATGCCTGAGTAACGAGACAGAGATACCCTTGCCGTTAGTTTTATTGTGTCTGTCACGACGTAACGGCTGCTGTGTTTCACCTCCACCATCGGAGGCAATGTTTCTGACATCTTCATCTCTGCTTTACGTTATCTAAGGAGAATCTGTTGTGGCAGGAAGGGGCATGGTAAGCCATTTCACTTAAAACGTCATGTTATGGAGTCACTGAAATCTTGGAAATATTACGAAAATTATCAAACATGTTAGAATGTCTCACAGCTATCCTTTTTCTTTACTTCAGTTACATTTTTTAAACTTATGACAAAATCATACTTTAAAAAATATTTCTATTATGATTATGCTGATGTTTCGAACGTAAAAGGAACCCAGTTCTCTACGTCTCCTAAAGAATCATCTCGGTTAAATTCGTATTCAAATATTACAAAAAATTTCCTGAAAATCCTTAATATCATTCTTTTTGTAGCTTATTTTAGCTTCATATGTAAAATTGTTGTTTTAGGTCTAAAACAGTGCTTAGCCTGTGTTGATCGTTAATAAACTATGAAGGTCATGTGAGCCAAAAGGGCCCTTCTCAATAGTCTGGCCTTTCTTTGTTTTTGTTTAACGCTGCACTCAGCAATATTCCACCTATATGACGGCGGTCTGTAAATAATCAAGTCTGGACCAGACAATCTAGTGATTGCCATCATGAGTATTGATCTACGCAGTGGAGTTACGATGACATGCATGAACCAAGTCAGTAAGCCTTACCACCCGATCCCGTCAGTCGCCAGTTACGACATTGCCAAGCATATTCGCCTTTTACGGCAAGCATGGGTTGCTGAAGACCTATTCTACCCCGGATCTTTCCCCAGTAACATGTGTTTGTCCTACGAGGTGACTTAATGGGTCGGTGGTCACGCTCGGTGATTTGGTTCTTTGTGCGCATCTTACCCGACGGTGGGCATAGATGGCCCAGTCGTCTAAGGAGCCGCGATTCGCTGTACAGAGTTGCGTCCCTTCGGCACGCCAGGAACCTATGATCGTGGCTTCGAATCCCGGTTCGCCCTGATTATGTTTCTAGGTTTGGCAGCACCATACCCGTGCTCGTGGGTTTCACCGAAGTGGTAAACGTCTGAGACCTGCACCACTTCGGGCTTTCCTCCCACATTAAGCTGACACGCCGCGATATCACTGTAATACTGTAAAAAGCGGCATTAAACCCAATTCACTCACTCACTCTTACCCGACGACGTGGGTCTTTGATCAGAATATCAATCAATGGTGTGTCCAGTTCAGTATCGATTATTTACATACGCTTATGATGTCAATCACTGGATCGTCTGGTCCAGATTGGATTATTTACAGACCATCGTTGAGTGCGGTGTTTAACAGCAAACAAACAAAACCTTAATTGTCAGGCATTTAGGCGTTCTGTAGTTTCAAGACGAGTCTGGTTGCATCCGTTTCAGGAATACACGAAATGTAATATGCTCTTTGATCGTGCGCTGACAGTGTGTAAAACGACACATACATGTACATTCAGCACGCTTCAATCAGCATTGCCGAATTGAGAAAGTAGTTTAATCCAGTAGAGCTCATGTAACATGGAAATAAGAATCATCGTTGCGTGTAACTAGTTCCATCTAAGACATTTACGAAGCACGTTTGATATTTTTTTTATCTCGTTTGTGATTCGTGTATAATTGCAGTTTCTAAAAAAATATGTGCGTTACATATTGCCACTTTTTCATACAAACTTTTACAATCAATCAATCAATCAATCAATCAATCAATCAATCAATCTCGCTTTTCTTCTATATTTCTAACACTTACCAGGATCCGCTAGTCGAGGGTTCGAATTCCAGATTCGCTCCGATTAAGAACCATCGTTTGTCAGGATCTAGGTTTCACCAAACCGAACATCTTATGCACTCATTACTTCTGTTTTAATGTCCATCCATTTTATGATGGATATAACTTAAAATACTGTCCAAGAGCGGCATTGACACCCCCGCCGCCCCCTAACCTAAAAACAACCAAAAGGACACCACAAAAAAACCCAGAAAAAACGAAAACAAACAAAAAACAACAAATCAAAACAAACTCATTCTACATAATACCTACGTGAATCGTTGAAGCCGTAGATCGTCGGACACGGCCCATACACAGTGGTGTTAGCCGGGGTGGCTGGCCAGCACTTGTAGTTGTCCCATTCCGGGGCGCAGTGGACCCCTGCAACAAACATCATCATCATAAATAGTCAGACCCGTCAAAATCCGGGGTAGAATAGGTCTTCAGATACCTATTTTTGCCGTAAAAGGCGACTATGCTTGTCGTAAGAGGCGACCAACGGGATCGGGTGGTCAGGCTCGCTGACTTGGTTGATGCATGTCATCGTATCCCAATTGTGCTCATGATGTCAATCAATGGCTTGTGTATTTACAGATCGTCAATTCGCTGGAATATTGTTGTGTGCGGCGATGAACAACGCAGAAGGAAACTAATTGACATAAATAACCTCAATAACATGTTTCGTCTCTGGTTCATTTTTACAATGTCTCCCTCTAAAATTTGTTACCCGCCTCTTTCGCCTTAACCATTCTATAAATATTGTCGATTCTAGAGATCACATTCCAGCATGTAAACCGCACCTAAAAATGCACTTTGGCCCTTTTTGCATATTATTGCACAAATAACATCTATGAGTTCTTGTCTACTTGTAGAATAATTATTGTATGTTTTCAATATATATTTCAATTTTGAAATAAAGCTGCTTAAAATTCTGTGAAAGGGCCAATGTCAAGTTCCAAATGGGGCAAAGTGACTTTGCTAGATTTTGGCCCTGTTAGCTCTCATGTCCGTGTGTGGTTGAGACTGGTTATTCAAGAGATGTTGAAAGTTTGGAAACGTTATTAATATGTTTCAACTATTTCAACAAAGTAGGCACTAGTTTAAATCATTTAAAAGAGCTTCAATAGTATGTGTTTATACTTTCAGTAGTAGGTTATCAATCTCACATGTTAAATCCCATGCAAATGCCTGAGGGTAAAAAGGGCCAAAATACAGACATTTGCCCTTTCCGCCCTTACACAAATTGAAAATGTAAGTTTAGTTCCTTTTTTTGAATGTTTTTTTATAGCAACATTTATATGTCTGCCGTCGGAATGTGTTAAAGTTTAGGTATTTATCAGTGAATAAAAAAACTTCATTACCAGGTATAAAATTATTGTTTTCATTACTTTTCTCGAAACGGACTCCACATGACATTGGCCCTTATAAATGTTGGCCCAATTATAATTATATGTTAGTTAAATACACACTTTGAGAAGTGAGCGAGAGAATACGGTTTGACGCCTGCTTTTATAAATATTCCAGCACTATCCCGGCGGTGAACAACGGAAATGTGCACCACACATTGTATTTGTGTGGGAATCGAACCCGGACCTTTGAGGGACAACCGAACGCTTTAACCACATGGCTACCCCACCGCCCCAACTTTGAGAAGGAGATATTGATTACTTCAGTTTTCATGAAGACTAGAAATGACGTTTAAAGTGATTGTTGTCCAATGTCCAGAATATACTGGATGTGAAAGTCAACACACAGTGGGAGACCTAAAACAAGAAAGTAACACGATTGCAGGATAGCGGTACCTGGGAACAGATGTGACCTTAGCGATGACGCGATAAGCACAACGAGGTCATCACACAACTTAAAGGCAGGTGGCCAAGGCGATGGAGTGAGTGAGTGAGTTGGGTTTAACGCCGCTACAAGCAGTATTACAGTCATATCGCGGCGTGTCAGCTTAATGTGGGAGGAAAGCCCGAAGTGATGCAGGTCTCAGACGTTTACCACTTCGATGAAACCAACGAGCACGGGTATGGTGGTGACTAACCTAGAAACATAATCAGGGCGAACCGGGATTCGAACCAATCATAGGTTTCTGGCGTGCCAAAGGGACGCAACTCAGCAATATTCCAGCTATATGATGGCTGTAAGTAAAAAACCAAGTCTGGACCAGACAATCCAGTGATCGATATCATGAGCATCAATCCAGGCAATTGGGATACGATGACATGCAACAACCAAATCAGCCAGCGTGACCACCCGATCCGTAAGTCGCCCTTTACGACAAGCTTGGTTTGCTGAAGACCAATTCTAACCTGGATCTTCACGGACACGACCTCCATGTTCATCAAAGGGCACGTCCCTTTTCCAGAACAAAATCTTTTGTTGGAATCCCAAATTATCTCCGATTCTGTTTAAAAGTCTGTTTGCGCCATCACTAACTCGTGGGATTCAACAAAATGATAAACGTCTGCACGTCAATGATATAACTGAAATACTGTAGCGGATTTAAATCAAAGTCAGACATCTTGCCAATTAAGCTGCTACGCGGTGACATAACTGTGATTCATTCCAAGACTGACACCGTCTGATAATGGCCTTGGCGAGTGTATTGAAACAGTTTGCTCAAATATCACAAAATGTCAAAGCATATAAATGCTGAGTTGTTATACCAATCTCCAAATGATATTCACGTTAAAATTCCAGCTCTGATAAGGTATTAAATTCTTAATACAAAACGTGTGCGCCATCGACTGGTGAAGTGTCGTTACGTCTTAAGAGGTACAACACCCCGGGGTTTGTAGGCTTTGTTCCCTTTAATGCCTCTTTCATTGAAACAAATCGCCTCGGGACATAATATAGTTGTAACATTGGTATTAAAAATAAGGAAAAAGATATGTTAAGACGGGTAATCTGTGACATTGTCTTTCTCTTGTGTTATCCTCTCACACTATCGTTGACGTTGAAATACAAACGGTTACTTGAGTCTTCAGCGCCCGAGCTGACAGAGCAGCAACACTATGGAGGGGCTCTTGACATGTCTGTCAATGAGAAAATACTTGGTTCAGAGGCATAAGTCGTTCTGCGGGGATGAGGCACATTTGCAGCCATCGAACCTGACAAGGCGCTAATAGGGTTGGGAATTATCACTTGTCTGAGACTGGTATTGATCCCGCAATGAACCCATGGAACATGATGGTAAGGCACATATGGTAGAGGGCTTTCATTAGCTTTGAGAGAGAATAAAGTATTTGGTCACATTGTTGTAGGCTGTCAGGTGATGATACTTTTAGTCACGCGGAAGATGAAGCACTTATTAATGAAGTGAAGACGTTACAAAAGTAAGCATACGTGAGCTGACAATTGTCTCTGTGGAGTTGTTAGGGTCTGTGGGTAAGTGGTTCAGCGCCGTTCTGAACAGTATTTCAGCTGATTGTTGAGTTCATCCCAAAGCCGAACATGTCGTTAACGATTAATACCTTGTTGAATTCAGACTGTGGTAGATCAAACAAAGCTTTGTGTTCTTGTGTCTTGAATAACAATCCCCAAAAAGATCATAATAAAATAATTTAAAAAAAAATAGATGTTCACTGAGTCCCGTGAAGATCCGGGCAGAATAGGTCTTAAGCAACCTATGCTTGCCGTAAAAGGCGACTAACGGGATCGGACGGTCAGGCTCGCTGACTTGGTTGATGCATGTCATCGTATCCCAATTGCGTGGATCGATGCTCATGATGTCAATCTCTGGGTTGTCTAGTCAACCAGGCGTCATAGAGCTGGAATATTGCTAAGTGCGTCGTTAAGCAACAAACAAACAATACGTAAGAATCAACAGTCAGGTGACTGCGAGCGGCTATATTTAGCAATGCTCTTGGTCAATTGCGCTTTAAATACCACATTCGCACGTGTTTTTCTTGCGGATCTGTTTCTTTATGCGTTAAAACAAGGTAATTTGGCCAAGAGGTTTAACTTAAGCTATATATTGATGATCTGATATAGTTTAATAACAATCAAATAGCCAATTCCCTTCCACTGATTTACCCAACTGAACTAGAAATAAAGGAGACCAGATAGCCCGCCTCATCTGTTTCATATTGAGATCTATGCATAAGGATTTAGAGTGACAGAACACTCTCCACAAGACTGGATGACTTCAACTTTCCAATAGTCAACTGTCTCTTCATGTGGAGCAATATTCCAGCAGCTACTTTTGAGGTACAATCGAGCATGTTCTTTCTTGCAAGATTTTAAAGAGGGTCGTACGGCTCTTGTTCAGAAGTTGTTTGATCAAGGTTACAACACTCAAGACCTGAGTAGCTTTCAAAACGTTTTATGGTTGACGTGTGGAGGACATTTCCAAATTTGACGCATCGGTGACAAAAATGCTGCCCGATGCAATGTCCTTTGACCGTATGTGTTTTTCAGGTGAACAATTGACCTGCCTTTGCATGGGTTTCTGACGGGTTCCACAAGTGGGGAAGGGATATGCTCACCATTTCACTCACTCACCTACTGACTGTCTCACTCACCCCAAAACCCACTCACTCACTCACTCAACCACTCTCGTAACCACTCACGTAACCACTCACTCACTCACTCACTCACTCACTCACTCACTCACTCACTTACTCACTCTTAATATGCCTACTCATCTGAGAAGAGTTTGAGCACTCTCAGATGTGGCAGTTTTTAACTGGTTACAGGTACTGGTGGATATTTCATACTGCTTTTTATATGGACTGAACTACATTGAAGATTAACTACATACCCTTCTTGTTTGTAATGAATATAGGGATGTTTTTACTGATGATTTAGATAAATGTGTAAAATCTAGTTTTATGTACATTCATAAATATGATTACACAACAAAATGATGTTGTTTTGCACAATAAGCAGCATTTATCTGTATAGAATTCACCAAATGAGGTACCCTAAACGAATATTCACCATAATGCCTATATTCATATATGTGTTTAAGCTACACATTGATTGCGCAGGTCTTTCCTATCTGACACTTAGATGTATGTATTCTGGAACAAAGGCCGTTCACTGAGTAAATGTTCATTGTATGTCTGTCTGACTTAATACATCTGATTCCTCCCCCGAACATAGAACGCATCTTTCTTTTGGTAAAACGACGTATTTGAAAAGGAAGTTTTAAACTTGTAGATTGACTTCTGAAAACACATCAATTGAAACTTGAAAGGAATATTGTATTGACATGATACAATTGTGCGTGGTCTGACGCCAACATTATCTTTTAACAGTGGGTATTATGTACATTAAGAGGTGGTGAGGTGAAATGGGGTTTAACGTCGCGTCCAAGATTATTGCACTTATATAGCGACGTGCATGTACGTGTGTGTGTTTGTGTGGCTGCTTGT